CAAAGTTTGGATGGATCTGCTTAGTTTATATGGACCTGCTGGAAACTGACTGTGACTTTTTACAACATCAGACTGTATTTTTGGAAAGTGTTGAAGAGACGCTAAAGGTATTATTATTGCATCAAAAATTGAATGAGGCCATCTAAGCGAAATGTAACAAAACTAAACCAAACTGATTTTTACTGTGAAATATCAATGCAGTGTTTGTCTAGAAAAGGAGGAGTTTTAAAAAGGATGTTATTTAAATGTCTTTATGACAAAAATGAAGTTCACGACACACAGCTGCCTTGTGTTTGTCACCTGCCTGAGAGTAGCATTGTGTTATGGTGACATGGCATTCTGAAACCACTTTTATGATTTTATTAATAATCACACTAGGATTATTATTATTATTGAATCTCTTCATAATTTGAATGTTTAGTGTTTTAGATCATTTTTGTTATTTACCTATTCAGTGCTTCAATTTAAATCAGTTTGTACATGAGGCAAATGATTTGGTTATTTTTTATTTTTTTTGCTATTTCCCTGTTCATGGCAGAAATCAAGTTTCACAGTCTGACTGAATATCTGCAGTTAAATCCATGAAATAATAACAAAAAAGATTACATTTTTTTAAATAGTGACGTTTTTAACATGCAGTAGAAAAGTAGAAAAATCAAAATAATCTCAAAAATAAATATAAAAAATATGTAATTGACAACCTATTATGTAATAGAGGATTTCATGATTTGACGTGTACAGTACTGTATTTAATGATATATTTAGGGTGACTACTGGTGAAGAGGGACACTTAAACTCAACCATCATCTTTAATGTAAGATGACATCATTGTAGTCATTTGAATTATATTATAAATAAACAGAGGCGATGACAAATGATCAAAAAGTGTTCCAGTTGACCTGTATTCACCATATTAAATTATGGTGTACATGCCTGCTATCTTTTGAGGATTGAAGCCGGGTTGTATTATGATCAGGGAGTTAATCATATACTTAAAGAGTGTTATTTATTAGTCAACATGTTTTATATTTCCTTGAACTTTGAAGAACAGATCAATGCTTTTAAGCATTGCAAGCCGCAGCGCTTCACACTGAACTAGTTGGACTTTATAAATAGACCAATAGGAACAATTTAAACTGCTGAACAAAATGGACATATGATCTTGTGATTTAGTTTTCCTCATATGGTTGGGAAACAACACATTGGACGTGATCAAGGAAGACGAGCCTGCTGATGTGACTGAGAACAGTGTACAGTACAGAGGGACTCGATGCTACCTGCACACTTCTGTGCATCCGACCAAGCATAAATCTCGATATGCTACTCACGATACTGTATGTTCTGTTTGTTTGCCTGTGAAGGCATTTATTCTATGTAATCGTCTAGCTTAGATCAAACTAGACAACAGTCTGTACTATTTTTGTATTTGATTGAACAATTTTAAACTACTGAAAGATCAAATGGGCACTCGGGAGGTAAAGGAAAAAAAAGTGTTTTCTGCCAAAGAAATGTATCACGTGATGTGGCACAAGCCGGATTTGCGTCCTGTAAGTTATTCTGATTCAGAGCAGCGGATTCACAGATTTTTCCTGGGAAACTTGCCTGTACGATGGTTTTGAATTGTAGTATAATGTTAAGCAAGAGTGTATGTAACTCTGTTCCTCAAATGTGTCACAAATTTAGTGAGAAAAATAAAACTATTCTGTTTGACATTTCTCTCTTGCAGTGTGTTGTTGTTTTAATAATGATTCATATTTCTATAATTGGAGATACATTTGGCATTGCAGAAAGTTGAGAAAAAAAACTTTTCACTTACAGATTTTTTTTCAGTATCTTATTGAAAACATATTTAATTTTAATAATTCAGTGCTTGCCAAACACAAGTTACTTCCTTTTCTACTTTTAATGAAAAAACAGATGTCTTTATGGGGTAACACTTTACTTGAAGGGGTGTGCATAAGACTGACATGACACCTTCATAATCATGACATGACACATGTCATGAATATGAAGGAGGTTTTATGCATGTTTATGACAACCGTCATTAAGTGTCATTCGCTCAGTTATGTAATTTTTAATGCAAATATGACATTATTTGACCTAACCCTAACCTAACCCTACCCCTACCCATAGCCCATTACAAAGACATCTCAAACAATGTCATCTTTGCATTAAAAATTACATAACTGAGCGAATGACACTTAATGACAGTTGTCATAAACATCCATAAAAAACCTTCATATTCAAGACATGTGTCATGTCATGATTATGTATGTGTCATGTCATGATTATGAAGGTGTCATGTCAGTCTTATGCACACCCCTTCAAGTAAAGTGTAACCCTTTATGGTATTGTTTGTCAACTCTGTTACGGACAAATTAGGTAATGTGTAGAAATAACAATAAATCATAACAGGAAAAATCCCTCTTGTTTCATTAGACAAACAGTCCTTACATTCCATCACTTGAAACTGAGATAATATTTCACCCCTTAAAAATGAAAAAAATACCTATGTCTTTACAGAACCGTCCACTTTGAGCAAATATTTTTCATCTGAAAATATATACAATATTCAGTTAAAAAAAGAAATGTTGTTAAAATATTATAAGGATGCAAAAATAAATCAATAATGTTTATTTTTTGTGAAAATAGTTCATAAACAGAGTTGACTCTTTAAGTAACAGAATTGTCCGTTGGACTGTCAATTCTGTTACCACATTGTCAGCATTGTTACTCTACCTTGGTAACAGTGTTTGACAGTAACAGAATTGACCATTTTCTTTATTTTTTACCCAAAACTCCACTTGCTAGCATAAATGCTAAGAGCACATGTCAGTAATGAAATCATGATTAAAAGACTTTTAAATAACACAAAGTGTGATCAATGAAAAAAATCTGTTTTCCTTTTGATATTGTGGTAACAGATTTGACACTTTATAAAATAACTCAGTGTAAGAACTTTTTAGATTTAAAAATGTCCTTAGAGAGAGGACATAGACTTGTCAGTGCTTCAGATCTTAACAGTGAGGGAAAGTGACATCATTTCCTGTATCTTACATAGTTGTGGGAGATAATTCCACTCATTTAAAGGCAAAGTATGGTACGGTAACAGAGTTGACGCAAGATTTACGCACACACATTTTTATAAGAAAAAAGTTTTTTTCTTTTTTTTTTTAATAATGTTGTAGAATTAGGTAAATGACTCTTTAGGGCAAAATATTTTTGTAATATTTTGAAATATTACAAAAAGAAAAGTACAATAAAATATTTTGATTACACAGTGATACATGATGGAAAAAATGCACAGACTAATTTGGACAACAAGAAATCATGATTTTCAGCTATTTAAGACACGTTTTGCAAAAAATATTATATTGTTATGGACTGTAACATCTTGTAATTCATAACAATGAGTAACGCAGTATTAAAATAATAAAAAATATAACCATTTGAAAAAAGCAGGAAAAAAATAATGACTTCGGACACCAAATGTGCCTGCATTTATAGAATCACTCATATGCTAGATGGCAGCGTAACTGTAATATTTCAAATTGATGTTTTAGCAGGATAAATAAGATAAACACACAGGTAACCCTCAGTTTTATACAACTGGCTGTTTTATCAGACTTTCTACATATCTTATTTGTGCATATTGTTTGATATGACACATACAAGTGTGAAAACAGAGGAAAAAAATTATAATTCTTAAATGGTATTCATTTAAGGATCATACAAACAAATTCTCCAGATAAAATGATGAAGTATTTTCTCTCGATTTTCCATTCTCACTCTGTTCACATACAATATTTACATCGTATATGTACATACAGTATAAGAATACAGCGTTCATAAACAGTGACTGTTGCTACATCTTTTAATTTGGAAGTTTGTATTATTTGGGAAAACTATTTTCATCTCCATTTTCTGATGCTGTTTGGTATGTACAACCCACTAATGTGCTAATTGATGTGGATTTTGTTTAATGAGTGAAAACAGGTGATATGTGTTACTGAAAGGCTTTAAACCCCCTTAGTTTGCAGCAGTCTTGTAGGAGAATGGATGAGAGAAAAACTGCGAGTGGCGTTGTTTGTGTGACAATGTAGCAGGAATGAATATGATTGAGTCGATTTGTGCGGGGAAAAAAGTAAGATAAGGGGGGAGGCCGTGCTTGAAGAGCAGTCTTTCTAATATGCAGTTTATATATACAGAGAGGAGAATAGCTGTGAGATCTATCTTTTAGGCCCTTCTTAAGAGATCTTGAGGTTTTGGTACTTGCAAAAATTATATCTGGCTTGCTACATTGGAAATGTGGCCAAAAGAATATGGTCACTATTACGGTTTAGGAAAGGCTGAACATCTTCTTGGCTGTTTGCTACTAGAAGTGCAGATTCAAATGAAATTCTAAGGTGAAAATCTGAATTTATTGAATTGCCCTTCGTTAGTTAAATATGATCGTGGCACTTGAAGTGTGTTTTTCTTTTTCTGTGGAATACAAAAGTAAGCAAGATTTTGCCAACTGTTCCTTTACCTCACAATAAAAGCTCCAATAAAAGAAAATAAGTCGGGCTACTATACATGTCTTCTGAAGCCATGTGATAACTTTTAAGTCATTATTGACCAAGAAAATCTGCACTTTTTGTGTTTGACATGAGCAAGCACCAGAATCACGATAGTGATATGAAATTCCAACCTCTACAGTAAAATCAATCATGTAATATATCATATAAAATGTGTTTATATTAAATGAAGAGGTGCATTATTGTTCAAATATCAAATCGAAACAAGTCAACCAAAAACAAATATTCTATACAGTTGCAGGAGGTCAGCAGCGTTCTACAGAATCCTACATTTGTGTAGTATGAGACAAAAACACATTGTAGAAAAGAATCATGCAATACATTATACTTGGCCATTTGAACAGTTTTCCTCAATGGACCAAACAGACCTTCTTGAGGTCTTCTAAAAATAATGAGGTCTTACTAAATGTATTTACATTTGTGTATTTTATATATTAAGAAAAGAAAAAAAGTTTCAGTTTATTTCACTCATACACAGAAATCCACTTAATATGGATCATCAACTAGTGGCAATAATACTTGAATGATCAGAAGCTCAGAGCTTGGTTGTTTTGTTGCTTTGACTGTGGATTGTGGGTAATTTGCTGTAAGAAGGTTCTGTACAGTCGCTCTAGTCCATGTGTGTCCAAATTGATGTCCTAATAAGGGAGTCGAGATCCAAGGTCTTCGGTTATAATGAGTTTGGGTTTCTGCTTGCTGTTGGAATTGCTTTGTCTTTGGCGAGATGCGAGCGCAAAGGTGGTGAATTGGAAAGGATCCGTCACTCTAAAACACAAAAATACAAACCATAACATCATATAAAGGACAGACATGCCATTGTTTCTTAGCATGCTTAAAAGTTTTTACCAAAAATCTTGAAAAATAAAACATGCAGCATTCATTTAAAATAAAGATGCATGAAGCCTATATTTGAGGGAATAGAAATATAAGGAAATGAAAATACACATTTGAGATTATTCGTGCTATAAAATAATACATGTTGATTGTAATTCACGTTCAGTCTCTTCCCTGAGTCATTTATGCACCTGTGGCTGCTCAAAAGCTTCATGTCAGACTCACTATTTTGAAAGCATGTCAGGAAATGATCACATCAAGTTTTGCATTCAGATATGACATTGAATGTGTAAATTGAATTCTTTAGAAAGCTGGAGCTTTAACACATAGACTGAGGAGGAAAGAACGTGAAACTGAAGTAAAACCAGTTATAACTGTGTTTGACATGCTATACATAATATAGAGACCCAAAAAGTATTTTGAATACTTAAATGTGGTCTGAATAATAACCACTAAGTATCTCAAGTGTTATGCTAATTTTTTATATATTTAAAATGAACAAATAAAAATACTATATGTTTTGTTATATTTAATGGAATGACATTTCAGTTTTAAGCATTTAAATACATTTTGGGCCCATTTTATTATTTGAAGATTTGCATTTGAAATGAAGATATTCAGTGCTGTCAGAAGCATGCCATTTTCTTTTACGTTTTTTTCCCCTATGCATTAAAATGATAAATGATCATGGAGATATAACTGCATAGTTTACTCACTCAAAAGCGTTCAAATTCAGGAACCACACTGAAAAAATGAAAAAAAGGCCTGGAGTTTGACTATTAATGAAAGAAACTATAAATGCTTATATAACATCATATATATACTGAACAAAAATATAAACGCAACACTTTTGTTTTTGCCCCCATTTTTCATGAGCTGAACTCAAAGATCTAAGACTTTTTCTATGTACACAAAAGGCCTATTTCTCTCAAATATTGTTCACAAATCTGTCTAAATCTGTGTTAGTGAGACCTTCTACTTTGCCGAGATAATCCATCCACCTCACAGGTGTGGCATATCAAGATGCTGATTAGACAGCATGATTATTGCACAGGTGTGCCTTAGGCTGGCCACAATAAAAGGCCACTCTAAAATGTGCAGTTTAATCACACAGCACAATGCAATGGCAAGTTTTGAGGGAGCGTGCAATTGGCATGCTGACTGCAGGAATGTCCACCAGAGCTGTTGCCCGTGAATTGAATGGTCATTTCTCTACCATAAGCAGTTTCCAAAGGCGTTTCAGAGAATTTGGCAGTACATCCAACCGGCCTCACAAACGAAGACCACGTGTAACCACACCAGCCCAGGACATCCACATCCAGCATCTTCACCTCCAAGATCATCTGAGACCAGCCACCCGGACAGCTGCTGCAACAATCAGTTTGCATAACCAAAGAATTTCTGCACAAACTGTCAGAAACCATCTCAGGGAAGCTCAACTGCATGCTCGTTGTCCTCATCGGGGTCTCGACCTGACTGCAGGTCGTCGTAACCGACTTGAGTGGGCAAATGCTCACATTCGATGGCGTCTGGCACAAATCTGTGTTAGTGAGCACTTCTCCTTTGCCGAGATAATCCATCCACCTCACAGGTGTGGCATATCAAGATGCTGATTAGACAGCATGATTATTGTACAGGTGTGCCTTAGGCTGGTCACAATAAAAGGCCACTCTAAAATGTGCAGTTTTATCACACAGCACAATGCCACAGATGTCGCAAGTTTTGAGGGAGCATGCAATTGGCATGCTGACTGCAGGAATGTCCACCAGAGCTGTTGCCCATGAATTGAATGTTAAATTCTCTACCATAAGCCGTCTCCAAAGGCGTTTCAGAGAATTTGGCAGTACTTCCAACCGGCCTCACAACCGCAGACCACGTGTAACCACACCAGCCCAGGACCTCCACATCCAGCATCTTCACCTCAAAGATCGGCTGAGACCAGCCACCCGGAGACGAACATAACCAAATAGTCTTAGATCTTTGAGTTCAGCTCATGAAAAATGGGGGCAAAAACAAAAGTGTTGCGTTTATATTTTTGTTCAGTGTTTATATATTTTTTTACTTAATGCAGTATGCACTTTCACAGAAAACGGTACAAAATAGAGACTGAAACTTTACAGATTTTATATATATATATTATATATAACTAAGACAGTGCTTAACCTTCAGAAAATGCTGATCATTAACTACAGAAGGTCAAACCAAAGGACAGCAACTTTTTACAGTGAATCAGTTCAGCAGATTGTCAAAATTGTGATTTCGGAGTTTCAAAAATGCTTCAAATCATGAGATCAAATAAAAATGTGTTTAAATTAGAATTTTTGGAATGAAAAAAAAAATCCTGACCATGTTTAATAAGAGTAAAACGAGTAGAACAGTGAAAGCTGCGTTTCTATATGAAGAATGTAATAGTATTACATTTCAGATTGTCTGCAGTGATCAATATTATTGAGTATTATGACGACTAAAAAAAACTGCACAGACTGGGATGATTAAAAGAAACCATCAGCTGACAATTTAGAGACCTATGAATTAAAACTGTTGACAATTACAAAGTCATCAATAAAAAATTGAATTATGACAAAAAGGTCATAAAATCAAGCTAAGAAATGACTACACCGCTTTAATCTGAAGAAATGTTTATTCAACTTTTTAAGAGTAAAAAGTCACATGGTCATTTAGCAACATTACACTGTTCCGGTGTCGCCCAAAATACATGCACATTGGAGTTGATATACTTTTTTTAGTGTACAATTATTGTACTTTCTCTCCTTTTAGATCCAAAAAGTGGGCATTCCAGAAGAAAAGGACATATATAAATATCATGACAGAGGTGGAGTTCTCTCTTAGCGTGGCGGCTGTACCATGGCCTTTACTTTAGTGCAGAAAGAAGAAACACTGGCACTGGCTTCCAGTCCTTGACACCTTACTGCTTTTGTTTCTAAATTCATCAAAACAGAGATGAAGAGTGTTGGCAGAGCTACAGCAAGACGTTGGTTTAGTTACACACAGAAAAAGACAAAGAGAGAGCAAAAGTGTGGGGGAAAAAAAAATAGCAGGAGGAGAGACGGACAGACACAAAGAACCTGGCAAGGTCTTCAGTGCAGGAAAGCAGGAGAAAAGTAAAAGTGTCAAATCTGTCGTCATCACGCATACTTTGTGGTAATAATGAAGGTGCTTTTTTATTTAATTGTGCATCACCTTCATGTACAACAATAAATCGACTTTTCAAGTACAATACAGAGAAAATGTAAAGCAGTGCACCTTTAAACATTTACTAGAGCAGACAAGCAACGTTTCGATCACATCAGAGAAACGTTGTCTCTTTTATAGCTTAATCATAAGCATTTTGCTTCTATGAAAAAGGCAATTTCAAAGCATTTAATCAGTTCCCTTTCATTACAACACTGGAACTAAAAGACTTCAGCTTTCACTCCTGTGAAAAAGGCTAAAAAACTCACACAAGTGGTGTGTAAGCGTATCATAAGCATAGAAGATAATGTTCAAATTGATACTAAACAAAAAAGGATGGTATCAAAGTTGGTTATTGCTGTTTTTACATACGTTTTGAATCAAAAAGCTGTACAGGGATCCACAGCGATCCACAAATCAAACAATGTATCCATGTAAAAAATAAAAAGAAAAAAAAATCAGAAATACGATTACAATTCTACATTCGATTTAAAGTTATAGTATTTACAAATATTATGTGCTATGTACAAGGCACTGGATCACATGGATTATATTAAGACTTGGCACATCATGATTATGGATGTATTGCTGCAATGACCGCAACACAAACATCAGTGCAGAAAAGAAAAAAATGGATAGTTCAGATTCTAAAATCTGATGGATTTATTCTACATTAATAAAGTTGAGACATTGCTTGGCAACCGTAACTGGCCCTAGACTAAAACTATATTGTTCATTTCTTTCTGCTTTTATTTATACAAGCAATGAGTCACCCGTTGCCATGTTACAGTGATTTACCATGGTTAGGAGGGTTATACCTCTTATCTGTGGTGAAATCACTAACACACAGCTTCTCACTGCTTGTACCTTCATGCGTGGTTGGTGATGAGACATGGATATGTAGGTACCAGTTGTCTTTTCTTTCATGCATGAACCATTAATTCCAGAAACAACCGATTTTTGTCATTTATATTTAAAGAATTTGTTTCAATTCAACATTCACTTGAGACACAGGGAAGGTCAAATGTACTGCACACCAGACTCTACAACACTTGACGCATTTAGATACTTCATTGACTCCAGATGAGATATGAGATCATGGAGGCCCTTTACATCAGTAATATAAGCAATGAAATGCAAAAACACTGAAAAAAACTGCTTAGGTATCATAATATAAATAAGTCTTTTTGTGTCCCGTAGAAGAAAATAATATAATAAAATGATGTAAACAACAGAATTGTAATTTTCATGTAAACTATTCCTTTAAATACGTGGACCCCTGGATGGCAAAAGTTATGCATTTAGTTTAAACATTGCTGACATGTACATGCATGAAAGACAGGCAAGAGATACATATAAACAATTCAACGTGTTTACTGAAGCAAGTTCAACATCCTCATAATAGAAGCGTATAATGAGGAAGGTCAACATGGAATACTCAGCATTCCGGTTCCGTTAGGCTGCTTCCAACTGGGATAAAATAAGGGAAATAGAAGGTGGGAAGGGTGGATCTAGATCCTCTTCCTCTGAGGGTGGAGTGAAGGGAGATGGATTGTTGAGAGATGAAGGAAGACAGGGGAGTGTGTGTGGACGGAGGGGAGGGTGGTGTCTGTGTGTTTGTCTGTCCTCTCACACTGTCGAAATCAATTTGCCCTCCGCACTGTGAAACAAAGAGAGGGAGATGCTGCCAGGTTGGCTTTGGACACAGACACATTAAAGCACAGAGAGCATAAAGCCCTGATGTTCAAGGAATAGTTCACCCATAAATGAAAATTGGCATAATTTACTCACACGTTCCAAACCTGTGTGACTTTCTTTGTGGAAAACCAATGTACTGAAGATTTCTTTCCCCCCAGTTATAATGAATGAGGACTGCAGCTTATCAGGCAAAAGCACCACACAAGCATAAAAATTAGTCCATATGACTTGTGCACTACTGCAAGTGTTCTGGATCCAATTATGTCAACTTTGAGTGAGAAACGGATGGAAATTTACACTGTGCACTGATATCCTTTCCCTTCAAAGCTGCAGTCAAGAACCAGAGCAGTCAGATTCATTGAACAGGGTTCATGAGATTTATGAATATAGGAAATTATTTTTTGAACCTAGAAAGTTCCAATCTCTATTTGTGTGTGTGTGTGTGTGTGTGTGTGTGTGTGTTTGAAGGAAAGAAGAAAGTCCTTTGTAATGACATTAGGGTGAGTAAAAGATAACTTTATTTTTTTTTTTCATTTTTGGGTGAACTATCCCTTTAATGTTACTGCTAATACTTATCTATATTAATGCACATTACAAACAAGTGATGGGCTGCATTTCCTATAAGTCACATGTATGTGGTTCAGAAGTAAAATGTAAACAATTCAAATGTATACCAATCAGAAATCAGAAAATGCTTTACGACAGACCCATACACTTTTATTGGGAAAATGGAGCCCATTGTTTTAAATGCATCATGGGTGTCAAATCTAAATGGTGTGTACAGCAAGATGTAAAGTGAACTACAGATTTAAAATATTGGGGGGTAGCATGTGGAATATTGCTTCTCATGAGAATTTCCCTACAGAAATAAAAGTTGGGACAAAAGACACTTATAGACTACTTAAGACAGACACACATGGACAGCAAAAGCAAGAATGGAATGGAAACTCAAATGGAAAAATAATTTATCTATTTAATTCATCTATACCTACTTCAAATTTTGTGATGCTAAGGAATTTGGAATAAAAGCTGGGAATGGTCTTCTTCCCCATAGATGCCCTATTTATTTACTTATTTTATTCATTTCTTGTTTACAGCAATGTCACACAAGGTGCTTTGTACAATACCAAAAAAAATAAAAATTCATTCAAATTGATAAAGTATGGCTACAGCATGTTCGAGAGAGTAGATATGCCTCTCATCTATGGGAAAAGACCATAAATGACTGACTCTATTATTGCGAGGCTTATGAAACCCATTTAAACAATCAGAGGTTTCTCCTTTGTTCAATATGGGTTTAGGTGCCGTTTGGTCACCCGTCCACCTTATGTTTGGGCTAGACCTTCAGAAACATCAGCTATGTTCGTCTGCTCCGGCTGCAGGTCAAGCAAACAAGACTTTTTTGCTTGCCATAATCAAAATTCAAAATATTTATGTGGGATGTTTGTATTCAAACAAAAACAGAGGAATAATTCAAATTAAAGGAAACAACTAAAGAACTTATAGACCAACTAAAACTCTTTTTAAATATGGTGTCTGTTCAGGGGGCATATGAGTAAGTGAAAACCTAGGTCTTACCTCGTTTGGAATCGAGACTGGTACTCCTCCAACCCTTGCTGTGAAGGAAAAGAGAACATCTTTTAGTCATCTGCTTTTCCACAAATGTCCAGTAGACGGCAGTAGAAGAATGCATAACACTTATGAACTGCAGTATTGATGATAGCTAAAGCATCTTTATTGTAACCAGGAATAAAAAAGGAGGTTATTGAGTGCATCCTGAACAGGAACAATGGGAAGAAGTTGAACTAACTGAGCATTGACTTAAGCAAAACTCAAATACTGAATGCACTAAAGTGGGGACCCTGGGGTAATGATGAGAGATGTTTGTTGCTGGCTTTGTTACATAACAAAGCCCTACTTCTGATGTATTTCAGTGCTGCTCCAAAAGTATTTGCATGCTTATTCATATATATTTAAGTCTGTAATGTCATTGCAAGTGTAATTATTTCAGTGAAGTATAGTACACTGTATACAGTTCTGTGTATACAGTATATATCTGTACCTGTATGAAAATGTATTTAATTTTGAAGTGAAGACCTCCACAGACACACACACTCTCTCTCGTTGCAGTCATTTCTCTTTGTTCCCACTCCAAACCAGTCTATTTGTAAATCTCTGGCCTCGCAAAGGGAAGTTTAATCAAACAGGACAGGTCTTTTCTAAAGTGGGCTCAGGCTGCTAAAATAACACACGGTCACAGGCAAAAACTGATCCCGGTTTAGGGTAATGTCCTGGAACGTCCTCTATGCGGTTAGCTGGAGATTGGGCTACTCTAATCGAACTGTCACCCCGCTATATTTCAGCATGTCTGATAAATGCCTGCGTAAGGTGATTTAATGCTTTAGTACTATTAACATTTTTATAGCATGCTATACTAATATCTGCATACTACTGTCAAGGTTAATCTGTGTGTGCTGGATGTAGAATGACACTGCACTGAGAATAGACAGGAAGTGTGTGTGTGTGTGTG